GTTTGTCTTCCGCATCGTTCAGCCAGAGATACTTGTCTTCAGGTGATGTACCTTCAGGGAAGTATAATCTTACTCTCATGGGGGGTTGTGGTTGTAGTTGATTGTCTCTAAGTCTTTCTGCCTTTTCCGCCTTCCGCTTGTTCCTGGACTGAACTAGTTGAAAGCCATCTTCTCCGTTGGTGTCAAGGTCAACACCACAGTCGCCTGGCTCACTCAGTGCATCAGGAGAGTTAAAGCGAGTAGCTGGGTCTCCAGTCAACTCAGACATGGTGGAGTTACAGGGCTCGACTTATATGCCTACGTCAGAGGGCCGAGGACTGCTTGACACTCCTAGGAAGTCAGCGGTGGTTGGGAGGCGTAACCCTCTTAGAGGACAAAGGAGACTGTCATCTACAGCGTATTAGCGGTGTGAGGGGAGGCCATGAGCGGGCCTCCCGCGGAGGGAGTGTGGTGTCGGGGGACTAAGGTAACAGGAGTTTTCTCAGTTTATAAACACTTTTATTACACTTCACTTGTTCTTAATAGTATCTCTGTTTTTCTAGTTAGATACAGTATCAAAGTCAATTTTAGTTTCAAAAGAACTAACCAGCTTGGCACACTATGAGGAGCACCATATGGCCGAGGGTGACCACAAGGGTATAGGCCTTGCCTCGCGGGCACCTACACCTACACACGACACAGTGCTCAACACAAGGTAGTTCACTTGTTATACAGGCAACATATTTGCAGTTGTTGACCTATCCCCACCCTACTGGGTGGTGTTGTGTTATTTCGAAGTCAAGTGTGAAGCCGACCCGTTGTTGTTCTCAGGGTGGACTGATTTGCACCGCCTTGTCAGGAGATGGTGGTCAGTTCCCAGTGGTGCTTATCTCACTGGTGAGTCACGGCTCTCACTAGTACTGTTTAGTACTGAATTCACTGGCTTAAACACTGTTCATAACTGTTGAACACTGGTTCCACGTCTTTCCGAAACGAAATGTCACTTTTGATTATGTTGATATCCCGGTGGTGAGGATGGGTCGGGGAGAAGGACGTGGGGAATGGGCCGAGCATTGGCTGAAAGTGGTACATTGTTGGTGAGACTGCTTAGCAAGAGCAGCGCTTAAATAGGTCTTCTGATGGTCAGGTCATCAGTGTACAGTAGAGTGTCTTACATGTGTGCAGTACTGGAGTGTCTTACACCTGTGTGCAGTACTGGAGTGTCTTGCACATTCAGATGTCTAACACCTGTGTACAGTACTAGATGTCTAACACCTGTGTACAGTACTGAGTGTCTTACACCTGTGTACAGTACTGAATGTCTACACAGCGTACCTTAAATGGAGTGTCTAACACCTGTGTACAGTACTGGGTGTCTTACCAATCTTGTTTCTGTGTACAGTACTGGAGTATCTACCTGTGTACAGTACTGGGTGTCTTCACTGTGTACAGTACAGGAGTGTCTTACACCTGTGTACAGTACTAGGTGTCTTACACCTGTATACAGTACTGGAGTGTCTACACCTGTGTACAGTACTGGAGTGTCTTCTTACACCTGTGTACAGTACTGGTGTGTTACACCTGTGTACAGTACAGGTGTCTTACCTGTGTTTAGTACAGGAGTGTCTTACACGTACAGTACTGAGTCTTACCTGTGTACAGTCGGAGTGTCTTACACCTGTGTTTAATCGAGGTGTCTTACACCTGTGTACAGTACTGGAGTGTCTTACACCTGTGTACAGTAGTGGAGTGTCTCACACCTGTGTGCAGTACAGGGTGTCTTACACCTGTGTACAGTGCAGTCTTACACCTTGTACAGTTGAGTGTCTTACACCTGTGTGCAGTTGGAGTGTGACCTGTGAGTCAGGAGGTCTTACACCTGTGTACAGTTGGGGTGTCTTACACCTGTGTTTAGTACGGGGTGTCTTACCTGTGTACAGACCGGGGAGTCTTACCTGTGTGCAGTTGGGGAGTGTCTTACCTGTGTATAGTGCGGGGTGTCTTACACCTGTGTAGGTTGAGTGTCTTACACCTGTGTATAGTACGGGGAGTGTCTTACACCTGTACAGTTGAGATCTCCCTGTGTCATTAGGAGTCTTCACCTGTGTAGTGCAGGTGTCTTACACCTGTGTACTAGTACAGAGTCTTACACCTGTGTACAGTTGAGAGTGTCTTACCTGTGTACAGTTGGGAATGTCTTACACCTGTGTATAGTACAGGAGAGTCTTACACCTGTGTACAGTTGGGGAGTGTCTTACACTGGCCTTGTGAGTAGGTGTCTTACACCTGTGTACAGTTGAGGGTGTCTTACCTGTGCATAGTAGGAGGTCTTACCTGTGTATATAAGGAGTGTCTTACACCTTCAGTGTCTTACACCTGTGTGTATGGTGAGGATGTCTTACCTGTGTACAGTTGGGGGTGTCTTACACCTGTGTATAGTACAGGAGTGTCTTACACCTGTGTACAGTTGGAGTGTCTTACACCTGTGTGCAGTTGGAGTGTCTTACACCTGTGTATAGTACAGTGTCTTACACCTGTGTATAGTACGGAGAGTCTTACACCTGTGTACAGTTGGAGTGTCTTACACCTGTGTACAGTTGGGCGTCTTACACCTGTGTATAGTACGGAGAGTCTTACACCTGTGTACAGTTGGGAGTGTCTTACACCTGTGTTAGTGCGGTGTCTTACACCTGTGTACAGTTGGGGAGTGTCTTACACCTGTGTATAGTACGGAGAGTCTTACACCTGTGTACAGTTGGGGAGTGTCTTACACCTGTGTATAGTGCGGAGTGTCTTACACCTGTGTACAGTTGGGGAGTGTCTTACACCTGTGTTATAGTACAGGGAGAGTCTTACACCTGTGTACAGTACTGGGTGTCTTACACCTGTGTACAGTTGGGGAGTGTCTTACACCTGTGTATAGTACGGGAGTGTCTTACACCTGTGTATAGTGCAGGAGAGTCTTACACCTGTGTACAGTTGGAGTGTCTTACACCTGTGTACAGTTGGGGAGCGTCTTACACCTGTGTACAGTTGGAGTGTCTTACACCTGTGTATAGTGCAGGAGTGTCTTACACCTGTGTACAGTTGGGAGTGTCTTACACCTGTGTATAGTACAGAGTGTCTTACACCTGTGTATAGTACAGGAGAGTCTTACACCTGTGTACAGTACTGGTGTCTTACACCTGTGTACAGTTGGAGTGTCTTACACCTGTGTATAGTACAGTGTCTTACACCTGTGTACAGTTGGGAGTGTCTTACACCTGTGTACAGTTGGGAGTGTCTTACACCTGTGTATGTGCGGAGTGTCTTACACCTGTGTATAGTGCAGGGAGTGTCTTACACCTGTGTACAGTACTGGAGTGTCTTACACCTTGTGTACAGTTGGGGTGTCTTACACCTGTGTATAGCAGGAGGTGTCTTACACCTGTGTATAATTCGAGGAGTGTCTTACACCTGTGTACAGTTGGGTGAGTGTCTTACACCTGTGTATAGTACAGGAGTGTCTTACACCTGTGTACAGTACTGGAGTGTCTTACACCTGTGTACAGTTGGAGTGTCTTACACCTGTGTATAGTACGGGAGTGTCTTACACCTGTGTATAGTGCAGGAGTGTCTTACACCTGTGTATAGTACAGGGTGTCTTACACCTGTGTACAGTGCTGGAGTGTCTTACACCTGTGTGTACAGTTGGGGTGTGTCTTACACCTGTGTATAGTGCGGGAGTGTCTTACACCTGTGTATAGTACAGGAGTGTCTTACACCTGTGTATAGTACAGGGAGTGTCTTACACCTGTGTACAGTACTGGAGGTGTCTTACACCTGTGTACAGTTGGGGTGTGTCTTACACCTGTGTATAGTGCAGAGTGTCTTACACCTGTGTATAGTACAGGAGTGTCTTACACCTGTGTATAGTACAGGGTGTCTTACACCTGTGTACAGTTGGGGAGTGTCTTACACCTGTGTACAGTTGGGGAGTGTCTTACACCTGTGTATAGTACGGGAGAGTCTTACACCTGTGTACAGTACGGGAGTGTCTTACACCTGTGTATAGTACAGGAGGTCTTACACCTGTGTACAGTACTGGAGTGTCTTACCTGTGTACAGTTGGAGTGTCTTACACCTGTGTATAGTACGGAGTGTCTTACACCTGTGTATAGTACAGGAGAGTCTTACACTGTGTACAGTTGGGGAGTGTCTTACCTGTGTACAGTTGGGAGTGTCTTACACCTGTGTACAGTTGGGAGTGTCTTACACCTGTGTATAGTGCTGGAGTGTTCTTACACCTGTGTATAGTACAGGAGTGTCTTACACCTGTGTATAGTACAGGGTGTCTTACACCTGTGTACAGTTAGAGAGTGTACACCTGTGTACAGCTGGGAGTGTCTTACACCTGTGTATAGTACGGAGAGTCTTACACCTGTGTACAGTACAGAGGTCTTACACCTGTGTACAGTTGGGGAGTGTCTTACACCTGTGTACAGTTGGGGAGTGTCTTACACCTGTGTACAGTTGGGGAGTGTCATACACCTGTGTACAGTACGGGAGTGTCTTACACTTGTCGTCGTTACACACGTCACCAAGGTGACTGTCAAGGCCAATTGCAAGTGGTGCTATTGATTGCATGGTTGCAAAACGCGCTGTCACTCCCCGGAACAGTACAGTGTAGTAGAGCACAGTATAATGCAGTACAGTATAATACAGTACAATACAGTACAGAACAGTACAGTATAATGCAGTGCAGTACAGAACAGTACAGTATAATGCAGTGCAGTACAGTATAGTACAGTATAATACAGTACAGTACAGTATAATAAAGTACAGTACAGTACAGTATAATACAGTACAGTATAATAAGAACCAGTACAGTACAGTACAGTACAGTACAACATATCAATAATATCTGTATAGGTAACATTTGACATTTTCTCCACTTAACTGTGTTAGTCACCAAGTTAATATAATAAATAAGTTTGTGTTTGTTATCTGTTCCTCATCTTAAGGCTACAGTGAAGACTTACCTCCGGGATCACGGAAAGCTGTCTGCAGGATGATGTATTCTCGCACTCGTGTAAACAATGGTGAGGAGAGCTGATGGTGACACACTCATGAAGAGCGTTACAGCACCACTGACTTGGTGAAGCTATCAGCTGAATTCCTGGTGAACCTGCGACACTTTACAACAGTTTACTAGGACGGACGACAGCGTCACACACACTACCGACAAGTTATTATATGAAAACTTTACTCTTATTGTATACAGTTGGTAAAACAGTGTGCGAGAAAGGTGTTAAAAGCTGAAAAAGTTTGATTGACAGTGTTGTTTGTAGCACCGGGCCTTGTTCACATAGTGTTGGGTAACCCATGCTGCATGGAGCACGATACGACGCGGACCTGTACCTTGGAACTCCACCCTCCCTACCCCGCACCCAAACTATCATACCGCACTCTTGTTAACTACCAACACACACATACCTAACCAATACAGTCGATGGCATTGTCATTGATAAATGCATTAAAATAATTTCTGAACGCCGCGGTGGACATAGGATGAAATGACTCAATTATTCACTTCAAAATGTCTGCTTTATCAAAGGTTCCGAACACTAGTCCTCCTTAAATAATCTTATTAGTGAGTAAACTGGACGGCTTCATGATACTTGACACTAAAATTACAGTTTACAGCAACAAGCGGATGATTATTTTCTATTTAACTTATCATTAATTCTCTACTTTACTTTAAATAATTATTTTTAACAGCTGTCTAAACACTGACCGGACATCGGGGCAGCCATTGTTACTTGATGTTAACACTGAGCTGCGTTGTGCTGCACCAGCTATGTACAGTACGGTCAACTACGGGAATACGTCGCTCGTTATGGTGCAAACTGACAGGGTGTGACGTCATCGCGCACTACTTAAACAAGCCTGGATGGTTGATAGGTTACAGCGTCGGTCTTGACGGTTGCTTGGGTATGGGTTGGGTTTTATCTTTACTCCTTATTATACAGTATGTATAACCCACTATTACCCTTGTATGGACCCTGCACCACCTTATGTTGGGTCAAGATTGCCTGGTAGTCCTAACACACACAGGGTAAGTGTTCTAATAACTGTGTGTTATCCCCAACCGTTCACTGTCTCTAAATAACTCCATTAAAAGGTTGTGTTTCATGCTGTACTTACCGTATACCTGAGTCATGTAATACCTGCTTACTCCTAGGGCCGTAGTCAGGCACCCAGGAGCTGCCCTCTGCTGCAGTCAGGCACCCCCGGGCTGCCCACCTAGGGCGTAGTCAGGCACCCAGGAACTGCCCACCTAGGGCCGTAGTCAGGCACCCAGGAACTGACCACCTAGTGTAGTCAGGAACCCGGAGCTGCCCTCCTCGGCCGTAGTCAGGCACCCCGGACTGCCCTCCAGGGCCGTAGTCAGGAACCCCGGGCTGCCCTCCTCGGGCCGTAGTCAGGCACCCAGACTGCCCACCTAGTGCCGTAGTCAGGAACCCCGGAGCTGCCCACTTAAAGCCGTAGTCAGGCACCCCGGGCTGCCCACCTGGTGCCGTAGTCAGGCACCCAGGAGCTGCCCACCTAGTGCCGTAGTCAGGCCCAGGGAGCTGCCCACCTAGTGCCCGTAGTCACGAACCCCGGAGCCTCCTAGGGGCCGTAGTCAGGCACCCGGAGCTGCCCTCCTGGGGCCGTAGTCCGAACCCGGAGCTGCCCTCCTGGGGCCGTGGTCAGGCACCCGGGCTGCCCTCCCTGGGGCCGTAGTCACCGAACCCCGGCTGCCCTCTGGGGCCGTAGTCAGGCACCCCGGGTTGCCCTCCTGGGGCCGTAGTCACGAACCCCGGAGCTGCCCCTAGGGCACGAGTCAGGCACCCCGAGCTGCCCTCAAGGTCCGTGAGTCAGGAACCCAGACTGCCCTCCTAGGGCCGTAGTCAGGCACCCCGGAGCTGCCCTCCAAGGGCCATAGTCAGGAACCCCGGAGCTGCCCTCCAGGTCCGTAGTCAGGAACTGGGCTGCCCTCCTAGGGGCCGTAGTCAGGCACCCCGGAGCTGCCTCCAGGGCCATAGTCACACACCGGAGCTGCCCTCCTAGGGCCGTAGTCAGGCCCAGGAGCTGCCCACCTCTAGGGGTCGTAGTCAGGGCACCCGGGCTGCCCCTCCTCTAGGGCCGTGGTCAGGCACCCGGAGCTGCCCACCTCCTAGGGGTCGTAGTCGGGCATCCCGGGCTGCCTTCCTCCTGGGGCGTAGTCAGGCACCCCGGTGCCCACCTCCTAGGGGTCGTAGTCAGGCACCCCGGGTGCCTCCCTCCTCCTAGGGCCGTAGTCAGGCACCCCGGAGCTGCCCACCTCCTGGGGTCGTAGTCGGGCATCCCGGAGCTGCCCTCCTCCTAGGGCGTAGTCAGGCACCCCGGGCTGCCTCCTGGGGCAGTCAGGCACCCCGGGCTGCCTCCTGGGGCCGTAGTCACGAACCCGGGCTGCCCTCCTAGGGGCCGTGGTCAGGCACCCGGAGCTGCCCTCCTAGGGCCGTGTCACGAACCCGGGCTGCCCCTGGGGCCGTAGTCAGGCACCCCCGGAGCTGCCCACCTCCTAGGGTGTAGTCAGGCACCCGGGCTGCCCCTCCTCCCAGGGCCGTGGTCAGGCACCCCAGGCTGCCCACCTCCTAGGGGTCGTAGTCGGGCATCCCGGGCTGCCCTCCTCCTAGGGCCGTAGTCAGGCACACCGGGGCTGCCCTCCCTGGGGCCGTGGTCAGGCACCCCAGGCTGCCCTCCCTGGGGCCGTGATCCCGAACCCCAGGCTGCCCTCCTGGGCCGTAGTCAGGCACCCGGAGCTGCCCACCTCCTGGGGTCGTAGTCGGGCACCCAGGGCTGCCCTCCTGCGGGCCGTAGTCCAGGCACACGGGACCGCCCTCCTAGGGTGCGTGAGTCGGGCACCCCGGAGCTGCCCTCCTAGGGCCGTGGTCCAGGCACCCGGCGCTGCCTCCTGGGGCCGTAGTCAGGAACCCGGAGCTGCCCCCCTAGGGCCGTAGTCACAGGAACCCGGGCTGCCCTCCTAGGGTCGTAGTCAGGCACCCGGAGCTGCCCACCTGGGGTCGTAGTCAGGCACCCCGGGCTGCCCTCCTAGGGGCCGTAGTCAGGAACCCGGAGCTGCCCTCCTAGGGTCGTAGTCAGGCACCCCGGAGCTGCCCTCCTAGGGCCGTAGTCAGGCACCAGGCGCCCTCCTAGGGCGTGGTCAGGAACCCCGGAGCTGCCCTCCTAGGGTGCGTCAGGAACCCGGAGCTGCCCTCCTAGGGCGTGGTCAGGCACCCGGAGCTGCCCTCCTGGGGCCGTAGTCAGGCACCCCGGAGCTGCCCACCTCCTAGGGTCGTGATCGGGCACCCCGGAGCTGCCCTCTAGGGTCGTGTCAGGCACCCCGGAGCTGCCCCTCTGGGGTCGTAGTCAGGCACCCCGGGCTGCCCACCTCCTAGGGTCGTAGTCGGGCACCCCGGGCGCCCTCCTAGGGCCGTGGTCAGGCCCCGGGCTGCCTCCTGGGGTCGTAGTCAGGCACCCGGAGCTGCCCACCTCCTAGGGGTCGTGGTCGGGCACCCCGGAGCTGCCCTCCTAGGGTCGTAGTCAGGCACCCCGGGCGCCCTCCTAGGGTCGTAGTCAGGCACCCCGGGCTGCCCATCTCCTGGGGTCGTGGTCAGGCACCCGGGCTGCCCACCTCCCAGGGTCGTAGTCAGGCACCCCGGAGCTGCCTCCTGGGGCCGTCGTCAGGCACCCGGAGCTGCCACCTCCTAGGGTCGTAGTCAGGCACCCCGGGCTGCCCTCCTAGGGTCAAGCCGGGGCCCCGGAGCTGCCCACCTCCTAGGGTCGTAGTCAGGCACCCCGGGCTGCCCTCTTAGGTCGTGGTCGGGCACCCGGGCTGCCCACCTCCTGGTCGAGTCAGGCACCCCGGAGCTGCCCCTCTAGGTCGTAGTCAGGCACCCCGAGCTGCCCACCTCCTAGGGTCGTAGTCAGGCACCCCGGAGCTGCCCTCCTAGGGTCGTAGTCAGGCACCCCGGGCTGCCCACCTCCTAGGGTCGTAGTCAGGCACCCGGAGCTGCCCTCCTAGGGTCGTAGTCAGGCACCCCGGAGCTGCCCACCTCCTAGGGTCGTAGTCAGGCACCCAGGAGCTGCCACCTCCCTAGGGTCGTAGTCAGGCACCCCAGGGCTGCCCACCTCCTGGACCGTAGTCTTCCTAATGCCACAAAAACTTGGAATCGCTGATTATGCTGCCCAGACCAAGTGGGAGCAGCCTTCGAGCTGGTCCGAGTCACTCCAGTAAAGGCCAGCGAAATTGTGTGGTGAGAGAACATTACAGCACTGGTTTACACTGAGTAAGGCGGGTAAAACTGCCACAGAAAAACGCGGTTTATGTTGTCGAAAACGGTGGGGAAAATGGTGGTGTAGTGAGGGGCCGGGGTGGGGCCAGGCGGGGCGAGGACCAGGCAGGGCAGGGCAGGGCAGGCCAGGCCAAGCCAACCTGGGCGTAGGCTGTTGAGGCAAGATACCATCTTGACCTACAGTCATATATTGTGACTTTGTTTAAGAGACAGTGTGTAAACACTACCTCGTCTGCCAGTGCTGAAGCATTACACAATCCAATGCTCAACCTATATATATATATATATATGTATATATATATATATATATATATATATATATATATATATATATATTTATATATATTTATATATATATATATATATTTATATATATATATATATATATATATTTATATATATATATATATATATATATATATATATATATATATATATATATATATATATATATATATTTCATGTAGATCCTGAAACGTGGATAGATAAATCTTGATAAAATCACACGGGAAGACAACAGGCACCTTGAACAAGTGGCTTATTAAGACATCTTCAGAGGCCTCTGAAGATGTCTTGAATATAGGCAAAGATATATATATATATATATATATATATATATATATATATATATATATATATATATATACAATACACACACACACACACACACACCATGAGTGTTACAAAGTGGCCTCCCTGTGATGCTGTGTACAGTACAGTAGAGTACAGTCTGCTGACAACAGCTTACACACACATTGCAGCTACCAACGGTTTACATACATCATGTAACTGACAACAGATCAAAGAATATTCTCATAGAGACAGACATACTACAGAAGCAACTCCTCCACCAATACTCATAATAAAAAGTGTAATCAAAAGTAATGTCCTTGATAATGTTCCATCAGACATTAATACACAAGTTGTGAGAGAGACTTTTGTTTTAAACCAAAGAAATAATTATGGCGGTGGAACCCGTAACAAGGAGAGCACACGTGATGTTGTCCTGGAGCACCAAGAGGGTCTAGTGTTGGTAATCTCCAGAGT